TGGCTAGAAGGAGCAGTTCATCCTTTTCAAGTCATCACGGATCATAGGAATCTTGAATATATAAAAAGTGCCAAACGTCTCAACCCACGCCAAGCTCGATGGTCTTTGTTTTTCACCCGTTTCCAATTTACAGTCACATACAGACCAGGTAGTAAGAACAGCAAGGCAGATGCATTGTCCAGACGCTATGATCCCCCTACTAAAAGTCTCACACCAGAACCCATTCTTCCTCCCTCCGTCATCATTGCTCCAGTTACCTGGGACATCATGGAGGAATTACAGCGAGAACAAGAACTCGACCCGACACCTAATAACTGTCCCCCAAACAAGCAGTATGTACCTCACAACCTACGGCAACGAATCATGCAGTGGGTCCACACCTCCATAAGTACGGGCCACCCAGGGATATCTCTTCGTCTGATCCAAAATTCATTTTGGTGGTCTTCTATGACCAGAGACGTTACTACATATGTGAAGTCATGTCAAGTCTATGCCCAGTCCAAAACCCCTAAGGAACTACTATCTGGCCTCCTCAAATCACTACCAATCCCACAACGTCCTTGGTCCCATCTCTCCATTGACTTTGTAACTGATCTGCCTCCTTCTAATGGTTACACGGCCATTCTCGTCATTATCGACCGGTTCTCCAAGTCTTGTCGCCTAGTACCATTAAAGGGACTACCCACCGCTATGGAGACCGCTCAAGCTATGTTCCACCATGTTTTCCGTATCTATGGCCTCCCAGAGGATATAGTCAGTGATCGGGGCTCCCAAGTCTGGAAAGCTTTCTGCCAGCATCTGGATATCAACATTAGCCTAACTTCAGGTTATCACCCTCAATCGAACGGCCAAGTTGAACGTTTAAACCAGGAGATCGGCCAATACTTACGGACTTACTGCAGTCGAGAGCAACATCGTTGGTCGGAGTTCCTACCCTGGGCAGAATATGCCCAAAACTCACTCACTCACACATCCACAGGCCTAACCCCCTTCCAGTGCGTCCTTGGGTTTCAACCTCCCTTGTTCCCGTGGTCCGGGGAACCCTCCTCAGTCCCGGCGGTGGACGAATGGATTCGTCGTAGTGAGAGGGTGTGGGACGGTGCACATGTCCGCCTCCAGCGAGCCGTGAGAAGATGGTGGTCTTCTATGACCAGAGACGTTACTACATATGTGAAGTCATGTCAAGTCTATGCCCAGTCCAAAACCCCTAAGGAACTACCATCTGGCCTCCTCCAATCACTACCAATCCCACAACGCCCTTGGTCCCATCTCTCCATTGACTTTGTAACTGATCTGCCTCCTTCTAATGGTTACATTGCCATTCTCGTCATTATCGACCGTTTGTCCAAGTCTTGTCGCCTAGTACCATTGAAGGGACTACCCACCGCTATGGAGTCCGCTCAAGCACTGTTCCACCATGTCTTCCGTGTATATGGCCTTCCAGAGGATATAGTCAGTGATCGTGGCCCCCCAATTCACTTCCCAAGTCTGGAAAGCTTTCTGCAAGCATCTGGATATCAACATTAGCCTAACTTCAGGTTATCACCCTCAATCGAACGGCCAAGTTGAGTGATTAAACCAGGAGATCGGCCGATACTTACGGACCTACCTTTCACGTCTTCTGTCCTCGTGGTAGTATTGAGCAGTGCTCCCCTTTTTATCAAAGGGTTACCTGGAATGAGCAACGCTATTCCTCTGAATTCGGAGTTCTCCTCTCACATGGGAAGTTTGAGTTCTCTGTTTCTCCAGAGCACCTGGAACCAGCAGCATCAGGCGATTTAGGCCCTTCCTCTACCTCCCTGATGCGCTGAGTGTTTGGCTAGCTTGCAGTACGCTTACCCTTCTGATTTTACAATCACGCTGTAGGTCGAGCCCCCTCTCGTTGAGAGCTGGGTTTGTGCTCCCTCAGCCAAGGTAAACTACTGCTAGCCGTTCCAGCATTGGAACATGCTGTAGGTCGAGCCCCCTTCTCGATTGAGAACTGGGTGTGTTGCTCCCTCAGCTAAATAACTGCTAGCTGTTCCACCATTGGAACATGCTGTAGGTCGAGCCCCCTTCTCGATTGAGAACTGGGTGTGTTGCTCCCTCAGCTAAATAACTGCTAGCTGTTCCACCATTGGAACATGCTGTAGGTCGAGCTCCCTCTCGATTGAGAGCTGGATGTTTGCTCCCTCAGCTACAGATTTACTGCTAGCTACTCCAGCATTATATCCGTAGATTGACTTGATGATTTCTCAAACATAGCGTTTTGGGTAACTTAAATGATTTTAGCAAATGGCTGCAATATAACAAAGAGTGAAAAATTTAACGGGGTCTGAATACTTTCCGTACCCACTGTATCTTACAAAACAGCATGGATTCGCTACAGGAGGCCTTTATTCACCTCCCGGAGCCGTGTGCGGGACGTTTTATTATGGATGCGCGCACTTTATTTCACGTCTTCTGAACTGTTGACAACCAACACCCGCTTACCCCCATTGAAAGGCTTGGAGGGGCCAGGACAATTTTTAATATAACTCAGATTGGATTCGTCTGAAAGAAGAAAGTCACATACACCTAGGATGCTTTGAGGGTGAGTAAAACACAGGCTAATTTTAATTTTTGGGTGAACTAACCCTTTAAACGTTAAGACATCAGTTGAAGTGTGATTCTTTTAATCAGAAGAAAACCTTCAGGAGCCGTTATAAGCGTCATGTTAAAGAGTTGGACAAAGCCCTGCGCATGTAGAGCTAAATGAGTTTGTCAGTTCAGTGAGGGACATCAAGCCGACTGCTGGGAACGCCGCTCATTAGCGCTGCTCCTCAGAGCTCCAGTGATCTGTGTTTTCATACCCTGCACAACTTGAAGGGAATTTGAGTTGCCATCCTGATCTCTCCCTAAATATCTCCTTCTGAGAACGCTGTGGGCAAATAATTCATACTTTATGCTAATGGAAATTCAGTACCCCTTATAGATGCTAAACTGAAGCAATATAAAACAGACAGTGCACCGAATCTGATCAGCGCAGGAAGGTAATTTCTATCAGTGCCATAGGGATCAGTTTGACGCAGCTCCAAACAGTGAGCAAGTCCCGGCGCACTGTTGCCAGGGACCAAACAGATGCTTTTATCTGATCATCCCTCATTATGGTGTGTGTATGTGTATGTGTTTGTAAGGCCAAATGATAGATGCCGTCATTGTGTCTGGTTCCTATTTACAAAGCAATGGAATTTGCTATGATGAATGTTCACTCTTGCGCAATTAATTCTGTCATTTTGACAGTACCGGACGGATGTATAGATATTCTTCATACTGGTTAAATTAGCTCAAAATAAACACGTCACCCACACATATCTCACTAGAGGCACGTTTGAAATGTGTGCTGTTTTGAAATATTGTAAATACTGCTGTGAGGCTTCTGTGAAGATGTTTTGACATGCAGCACTTGAAATGTTTAAGCCTGCAGTGGACGTGCGATTTCGAGGCAGTAGGTTTGTTGTCTCAGTTTATGCATGATTCACATGGAGTGCAAAGCAGTAATCAATCAAATTATGTCCCTTTGCTGCTGAAAAGAGATTCTGGAGTTTTTATTATCTATTGAAGTCAAACTGGGGACAGTTTTTTTACAAGACAAGCTACACTGTTAAACCATCTTTCCCAAATCAATGTCCCGTGGGTACGGTTTTTGTGAAGGTCACTAGGACATGTCCCAAGTAACTCTTAAGTGGTCCTCATTAATAATTTGTACAACTAATGGATGGGTCAATGATGTGACATTCATGTTTTGGACTGGATCTATTAATTTATTTGAAAATACATTAATAATGCAATTAATGCCTACAATGGCTTGAATATACCTCTTCTATGATGAGCATGTTTCTGAAGTCTTTTGATATTTTTAGGGGGCATAAAGCCTAAATTGTTAGGACGATACAACACTGTCCTGCCATAATAATGAGGATGTCATAACTGCTTCACTGCTAATTATTATTTGAAAAACTTGTCAGGAAATATCAGCTAATTTGACCTTTTTGTAAAAAGGCAAGGTTAGTTTAGGTTGTGAAATGTCACCTTGTAAGACTCTCCAAAAATGTAATATTTATGAATTTATAATTCATTTTATTTGTTGAAAAAAAAAAGATTAACTTTATAAATATTTTAAATACATTTTAAATAGCGATTGTGTAAAAAAGTCTATTTTCCGTTGTCTATTTTCAGTAGTGTAGATGTGTGAAGCACAACTCACACAGAAGTTGGTCAACTCGGCAAATTGACTAACTTTTGTGCAAGGGGAGCTTTTTTTGAACACCTAATGGCATGGATTTCCTTTTAAAAAGACTGGATTTTGTAAATGTGACCGCCCCTGAAAGTCACAATGAAATGGAAGTAGTGACAGATCTTCCATCCTGTGATGGAAATTATGGGATTATTGAAAAAGAAAAAAACAAAGGGTGAGGACTTGTTTCTGTGCATTGGTTGTTGGTTGATTTTGAGATGAACACAAATTTGCAGTGGCGGGGTTTAAGAAAATTAAATGATTGGAGTCCTGAAAAAAGAAAGAAAGAAAGAAACATATGCACAAATGAAGATCAATAACATGCATTTAAAAAAATTCAATTTGTGCTGACTCAAAGATATGGAAAGATATTCCGCAATGGGATAAAAAAAAATGGAAAATTGCGACTTTTTATCTCACAAACTTTCTTCTCGCAAAAAGACAAAAAGTCAGAATTGCAAAATATAAAGTCAGAATTTGTGAGAAATAAACTTGCAATCCTGAATTGTAAAAAAAAAGGTCAAAATTGTGACGTTAAACCTTGCAATTACCAGTTTTTTATGTTTTAATCCCATGGTGGAAACAAGCATTCGTACGCATTTATTCAAAGAGGAAGGAAAATATATTGTTGCATCTTATTTTATTTATCAACAAGCTTGGTGTTCATGTACAGGGGTTTCGGGATTATTTGAAAAATCGGGGAAGATTAGCTACTGCTAATGTGAGCATGTGTTGTGTCCTGCAGGGGGAGCTGCTGAGCCCGTGTCGCTGTAGTGGTTCTGTTCGCTGCACTCATGAGCCCTGTCTTATTAAGTGGATTAGTGAGAGAGGATCCTGGAGCTGTGAACTCTGCTACTACAAATACCAGGTCATCGCCATCAGCACCAAGAACCCGCTACAGGTAACTCACGGCCTGCCTGGGCTTATGTGGACTTAGTACAAAAGTGCAAAAGTATTATTTATTATTTTATTTCATATACTTCATTCTCCTACTCAAAATACCTAAAAGAGAGGGGTCTAATGCCCCAGTCACACAGATAGGATAGAGTGGGTTAGAGCTTAGTCTGACATTATTATGAATTTTTAGATGTTAGAACATTTGAGCTCTGAGGATCATATTATTCCTGGTTGGCTCATTTTGAGTCAAACAAGACCAATTCAGTGATTTGTTTACTTGAGACTTGATCAGCCCGGATCATTGGATAAGTCTGTTGTGAACTGGGGCAATCGGATCAGTTGAATTCACAAATAAATCATTAAATGTGATTTATGAATCAGTTCATTGAAAGAAATTCAATGAATGATTTGTTCACCAATCAGACATTGTTTATCAGGGCTCAGAGCATGTCTCAAATTCTTTACTTCAAAATAACAATCCATTTTTTTTTATGTAGTGGAGGTACCCATATGCAAATGTTAAATATGTACATACAATTTCCATGTATGAAATATATTGTCATATGAAGTAAAAACACATGAAACCTGTTAGAAACTTGAACAATTTCATATATATATATATATATATATATATATATGTGTGTGTGTGTGTGTGTGTGTGTGTGTGTGTATAAAACAAATTAATTAGATTAAAGCATTAAAGCAACAGCCCTAATATATATATAAACAAACATGTTTCATTTCTGTACACCACATGGCCAAAAGTGTGTGGACACCTGAACACGACACCCACATGTATTTGTTGAGCAAAACCATGGGCATTTAATTTCAAAACCATGGGCATTAAGGCATCAGTCCTTTCTTCCACTCTTCTGGCAAGGCTAGACGGCGGAACGCAGCTGCGGGAACATTGCGCTCATTCAGACACCTGAGCATCAGTGAGGTCAGACATTGATTTTATATGATGGGGCATGGCTCACAGTCATCCCAAAGGTGTTCAGTGAGTTTCAGCTTTTGTGAAGGCCAGCCAAGTTCTTCTGTACTAGAGTCAGTAAATCTTTTCCTCATGGATCCCGCTTTCTGCAGAGAGCATTGTTTTGTATGGAAAGAAAATAGTAAGTCCCATTTTTTGGATATTGGACTGAATCAGAAAACACATTCATTTGAACCATGTATTCATTTGAACCATGTACCATGTTACCATGTATGAAATATGAATATGGTAGTCATTGAGCACCATGATATAGCTATACGAACACTGTGCATTGCCGTGTTAATTTCGTTGACGAATAATTTTCGTCATAATGTTCGTCAACGACATTTTTTTCACTGACAACAACGAGACGATGACGAACTAAAACTCTTTTTGAATGACAAAAACTATGACGAAAATATATGGACATTTTCGTCAACTAATAAAAACGAGACAAAAATGTTAGGGAGGGACGATTTGGGAAGAGATTCATTCAATTTCAGAACGAATCTGCTGCGTGGTTAGGAGGTTAGATACGTACATGAACCAACGGGACATAAGCTAAAATACACTTGCTGCACGTCGCATAAAACGTTCAAAAATGTCAATATGTTGGAGTAAGAGAAGAGCAGACATATAGATAAATCTGACGACGCAGCGCAGACACTGAAGCATACACACGGAAAGCGCGTCTCGCAGCGCGCGAGTACTCTTTTGCATTGCATGAATGGAGAATTACACACAAAATGATGTCGAATGGTCATTTTTTTAACGAGTATTCACGTAAACACAGTTGATTACGTCTTAAGTGAACGTAAACAGTAGGGAGAACATGTATCAGGACATTGCATCCGTGCATCCGGTTTTAAAGGTACAGCAGCCTAATTTAGTTGCTATTGTCAGAGTCATTGATGTTAATCAAGCAACAAAAGAAACACAGAAAATCACGCACTGCTCTTGACTGAAACACTTTAGTAGCCCTAAAGATTAATCTAAATTTATTTATAGAAATAAATGTCTGCTTGAAAGAATTAAGAATATGGTAAACAAGCTGCTATAAAGAATGCATAATAGCCTGTATAACCATTGGTATTTTATTAAAACGAAGACCATGTTCTTGTTCCTTATGAGAAGTGGTTTTATTTAATTTTAACATGAAGGCATATTGTGTGTCACAGCAGTTAAATCAGTGTCTATCATGATAAAACCTTAATATCAAAACTATATAATGAGTTTGGAAATTTTTGAGAAATGCTTAATAAATGCACTGTAACTAAACCCATTAGATTTTAGCCGACTAAATTTACTGTAGATTTAGTCGACTAAAATCTTATGACATTTAGTCGACTAAAACTAGACTAAAATTAAAAACAATTCAGATGACTAAAATATGACAAACTAAATGCCATTTTAGTCAAAAGACTATGACTAACACTAAATCAAAATTTGCTGTCAAAATGAACACTGGTGCATTGTACCACCACAATACTGAGAGCAGTAGCACTGTGTTTATCTGATTCCTTTCATACTGTGTTAGCTCAAGTAGTTTATATGCTTGTCTGGGTTCAAAGCTTCTGCTCTCACTGATTTTACTTTCTGTCTTTTTTGTTTTCTTTTGATCTGACCTTTAGATGATAAATAGGCTATTTTTTCTTTGTTTTAGTTATTTTAAAGAGAACTTTGGTCTCTATATTGCCATCTGTGGTTGAAACATAAAATTACAAATTACTCACAGAGTTGTTTTACATTAGTTGTGCTTTTCTATGGTTGATTTGCCTATGATTAGATCTGTCATTCTGCATCAAGATCAGCTAGAAGAATGTCTACAGGGCATATGTGAAAAAATATGTAGCGTGAGCAAGTAGCCAGACCATTTTTTGTTTATGGATATGAAGTAAACCTGAAATGTAAAAACCGCCCAAATTGCTCAAAATATAAGTCATTTTTGTACGTTTACCATAGTGAATTGGGGTAAGGCAAGAACAGAGTTTTGAAAACTGATCTTTTTAAGTACTTAATCAATAATGGAATTGTATTCATTTTTACATCAAA